TTGATAACTCGAGCGAAAATGAATATTTTGAGCTGGATTATTTACGGGTGGTAGTTCTCCCCTAGGACTGGTTTGGTATTAAATTTGAGCTACATCGGCCGAGCCGTTTGAAAATGGCGAACTTTGAAAGTTTTAGGCGAGGGGTGCGCTGCATGAGGGGAGCTGGCCGGAGCAGGGCCGCACAGCGGGTGGGGGGAGAAAGTTTTTGGACAAAATTTTCGTCGCACAGTGGGTCAGGGGGAGGAAGTTTTTGGACAAAATTTTCGTCGCACAGTGGGTCAGGGGGCAGAAGTTTTTGAACAAGCTTTTCGTCGCTTAGTGGTTTAGGGGAAGGAAGATTTTGGACAAACTGCGCGTCGCACAGTGGGTCAGGTGAAGAAAATTTTTGAACGAACTGTTCGTCGCACAGCGGCCTGGAGGGAAAGGAGATATCTGGAAAAAACTATCCATTATATAATGACTTACAGACGTACGATTTTACACTGAAAAAAAAGAATCTTAAATTTGCCGCCAAGAAGTATTTCTTCTTAAATCAAGAATATTTCTGGTAAATATAAGCTACTTTTTGCTTAACCCAAGCATTATTTTTCTTGTATCAAGAAAAAGTCTGCTTAAAGCAAGATAAAAAAAAATTCTTGGCGGCACATTGACTGCTGAGTTCGGCCTTTGCATGGTCCAAATCAGTACCATTTGGCATGAGATGTTTTTTTCTCCTATTTTTTTGAAATTTGTGACCTCGAAAATGGATATCTGGAGTGTTAACTCCTCTCTTTGCTCCTCATTTGACGTTTTAGCCACTAAAGAGCCAAAATCGGCCGCCATCTTGGATTTTGGTCATTTCCGTGGGTTGAGGGGTCTGTATGACAATTTTTTTGGAATCTACGATTCAAAAAACATGAGGATCGACACCTCTCTTGACGTTTTGTGCCGTTTCACATACATTTCAATTTCAGCCTCCATTTTGGCCGCCATCTTGTTTTTGGGGCCTTGGCATCAAAATCGGATAGTCCACCAAAGATTTTCTCATTCTAGGGACCAAAATGAAGGAGTAAACTTGCATCACAAACGTGCAAACGGGACGTAATTTTCGAACACATGCTTCCCTGACTATGCAATAAATCGCCTTTTTTCGTCATTTTTGAGCATTTCCGACCGATTTTCATTTCCGTTTAGATCCGTGCCCCATCGATGCACGTTAGTAAGTGTTTATTGCTCGAAAATATATACCTTAAGGTTGAAATAGAGAGAGAAAATAGGAAATTGCAGTTACAATCTATGGAAAGCATCGGTTACGGTGTGAAAAATCGTCTTTTGGCGTCAATTTCGAGGATTTTCGGTCGGTTTCCGGTTTCCATCAGGCCGTTAATCGATCGGTAAATGTATGGAAAGTGTCGATAGTCTAATTTTATACATCTTACAGGGTAAACTGGGGGAAAACATCGTTAATTGAAGTGTTCATTATCGAAATATTTGGATTCAAATGTAAAAAATTGTCTTTTTTTACCAATTTTTGACCTTTTTTGGCCTCTTTGAATTTTTTTAGGCCCTTAACCGTCCGATAACTATTGAAAAAAGTATATCAACCAAAAGTATATATCTTAAGCTTGAAGTATAAAAAAAAAAATCGAAAATCGGAGCGACTGTTTTTTAGATAATGCAGTTCGAACATTGAATGGCGAAAAAATCGTAAATTTTAAAAAACTCTAAATTACGGTCATTTAAATAATTTTTAGCTCAATTTTGATGGCATATTCAAAATCTACATGAAAAATTGGTCTAGAAACACTCTTTCAAAGTATGATGGATTGATACAGAGTCTCGCTATGGAGAGTCAAAGAGAGGGAAGTCGAGAAAATGAGAATCGCTAAAACGGGCTTTTTTGAATATCGCTAAAATTCACCCTATCTTCGGGGGTCGATATCTCGCGAACGGGGCGTCGGATGGGAAAACCCTTCAAAGTAGTATCTTATAATGATGTAAAGACCCCGTATACCAATTTTCAGCCGAATCGGAGGGGGTCGGGTTCCGAGCTTGGTTTGGTTCCGTTGACGTGGAATGACCCTCGTATGTATAGGTTACCATAAATAAAAACTGAGTTGTCCTTTTTTTGGAAATTTGTTCTGAATGTAGTTCTCTGTTGTTCATTGAAGAGAGGTTGTTAAGAAAATTTTTCTGTAGTTAAAGAAAAATGTACTTCATTTAAAGGAAAACATTTACGTATTGAAATTGTCTTTTGTGTCAAAGAAATTTTCTTTAATTCAAATCATTTTCTTACTCTAAAAATAACATCACTTTGTCATTGATAAGAAATTAATTTTCTTTACCTAAATTGAACAATTTTTTTCTAACGAAAGGAGATAGTCGTCAAGTAAAGATAATTTTCTTCAGATCAAATAATTTTTCAAATTAAGAAAACTTTTTCAGCAATTTGTGTGTTCGCTCAGGAAGACAAAGAAAGCAAAATCAGTTACGGAAAAGAGGATTATTTTGCTCCAAATAAGAAAAGATTTCTTCCATTGCTGCTGTCGTTCCAGGGTGGATCTTTACTTGCACTTTTTTGTTTCCCTTTTAGAGAGTGAATTTTTATTTTAAATAAACACGCCCGATGATATTTTGCTTTTCTTGCCGCTAAATTCTCGATCGAATCTAATCTGTCTCGAATGCAAATACTTTCTGAATCAGTTCTACCTTTGTTTATGTCCAATATACGATTACCAAATTTCGGATGGGTGACATTACTAACGGCGATTTGAACGCGTATACTTTTTCGATTGAGATTTTTTTTCCTTTCTTTTGCTTCAATTTGAATTGCATCACCACAAAGAGCGCATAGCATGGAAAATGAACTTCTTTAGGGGAAATCACGGATTGAGAAGGTGATTTTTAGCGATTGCAGGCTAAAATTTGTTTCTCATTCGTGTAATTTTTACTGCATACCCTATGCACTGTTATTTTATGTCTTATACGCCCTATCAACTCTACTTTCCTGTCTTGCCGTTTTTCACTAGCTTTGCGTAAAGCACTCTCTCCCTTTCTTTTAACGTCTATTGTTTGTTGATTTGCCAACGGCTGGCCAAATATAAAACACGAAATTTCAAAGTCCATCGCAAAAGTTTAGATGTACATGCGTCAAAAATAACACATTAAAACCAACATATCAGGTGAAGTCGCGACAAGCATGTTTGGCAGTCATCTGCTTACTGAAGATGTATATCTTGCTGCAGAATTAGTGAAGTCTAGCCAGAGTGCAATAAAGATGCCAAGGAGATAAGAAAATGCTAGGCAGTGCATAATCCTGGAGCCCCTTTGATATCCAACGACCGCATTCTAGCCAAGATCGTAGCCCCAGAATATGGGAGAGATAACACCTCGAAAAAAATAAACCATTGAGACAGTGAGTCACTGACGCGGAATCTTGCGAGACATCACAAATATGTTGAGGACGGGGATATTTATCCCGTTTTAGTTAATATTATTTTACAAATTTTTTGGCATTTGGATCTGTTTGTTCTCTCTTAAGGGTAATACATTAATCTAAGATGAAAAAAATAACAATTAATCCAAACTTACTGTAATAAGACATTTTTTCAGGGAGGGATAGCGAAAACGGAAGGGGTCATGGAACACATTTCAGGTATTTTAAAGCATTAAAATGATTATTAAATGTTAGAAATGAAATACTGTTGAAACGAAAACCGTTTAAAGCGTGTGACGCCTCGGAACTTGGCAGACCGCGGCGAGCCGGACCGCGCTGAGGGGTGCGCCGCAAAAACGTGAATAGGCGCGATGTTCACGATGCTGTATCTTCCTCAATTTTTAAGCAAACCTAGCATATATATACACCATTTTCTTCCAAATTACGTCAGCTATCCAAAACATTAACCAAATCCGGGACTTTTTCTTATGCGTAGCCGCTTTACAAAAAAAAAACCCGCAAAAAAGGCCTTTTTAGGCCATTTTTTCAAAATGGCGGAAAATGCTCATCAGATACGCGGTAGGAAACTTCAGATTCGGATTCAGCGACCCATAAAAACATAGAGGAAGCCAACAAAATCGCTGTGAACCCAAAATTCCAGGTAGACTTACTGGGCGCCTGGATTAGGGTAAAAATTGTCAATGAACTTCACATTTTTTCTAAGGAAAATCCAACAAGGATCATTAAAGCAACACTTGTTTTAGGTACATGTTTTGCTATGCATATTGAGTGGCATCATTAAATATTAATAAAAGGTTGCGAGATGCAGCATGCAGCACGACCGTGGCAGGTGGTGGCGGCGACGCGCGGGGCAGGGGCAGCGTCGCGGCGCCGTCTCTCGAGCGCGCTCGCTCTCGCGTCGAGTCACGCGTATACAAATGGCAGATTCTGGATTTCCAGTCATAGATACGGTCAAACGAACAAAATTATCGGCCGAAATTGGAACGAAACCCGATAATTCCGATGGGAAACCAAGTACATCAAGCCTCAAAGATCCAATTTCAAAACGTAGGCCTTGTAGGCTTAGGCGCGCCAGCAAGAAATTGGAACTTTGGCCTGAAATTTTTTCTTCTTTGAATTCAGCCTATTTCCCGACATTTTTTCACTACCCGTCAAAAGAATTCATACAAAAGTCAAAATCGCTCCATCCTAAGATTCCTACTTTAAAAAAAATTCATTTTTCTTCTTTATTCTTTGTCGCTTCATTCTAAACACTAAACAGACTTCTCAATTTCGCACTACCTGAATTGCTTTCTATAGATAAGCCTTACAACTTTACAAAAAATTATCTCTAAAAGTAATTATCTGAAGGCCAGTTGCAATGACAATGAAATCTTTAATTATCCCCTAATTCTTTTCACAGACTTCCTTGAATTGGAAGAACAAGAATAACAGAACCAAAAAAAAAATAAAAATTATCTGTTAAGAAGTTGTACAGACAGCTACAATTTGAACTTGAAGGTTCGCTTTAGATCAGAATTTTGTCTCTCTCGGATCATCATGATTTTTCCTATTTTTATTTCAGCACATTTTTATCATCCTTTGCGGATGCAGTCACCTGCATTGTTCTCTGTACATTTACTCTCATTTCTGCTCTCATGATAACACTTGGGTTCAAGACATGGTGTAATGAAATTAGCAAAAGATTCCCTTCGTAAGTTTTGTTCCTTTTCTTTAATATCCTGTTTTTATGTTACTCCTCATAGTTCTGCAGAAAACTTTCAGTGTTGCAAGATAATTTAGATGGGGGAAAACCTTTCATCCCCCTTGTTTTAAGTCGGTGAAATCTCGCTTTTTTCTCCCTTTGTTTCTTTCTCTTTTTCTGAAGCGTGTCTAAACAACTCAACATTGAGTCATTTTTTGAGAATCCATTTGTTGGCAGATGAAATAATGTGTGACTAGATTTTTGAAAAAGGACCTCATCAGCAGTGAAAAAAAATTCAGTAGAGAATTTACAGGAAATATGACCAAATTTCGCCGAATTTTTATTTACAGAACATGATTTATGGTGTACTCCCAGATGATAGGATGTGTGAAGTTAGAATAGTGCAGCAAGTTAGTAGAGCAAGGTTGATTGGCAGAAAATAACACAGAACTCCAAATGTTGGATGGACAAGGCTTCATTGGCACAGAACTCAAAACATCTAAAGTCTAAATAGGCTTCTCCTTTTCCTTCCATAACCGACTTTTGTCTTTCCGTACAGACTAAATTTCAACTTTTTAATCTGAATTGGACATATTTCTGCCAAACTGAACTAAGGATGAGTGGGAGAGATGGGGTGTGCTCTAGGAAGGTGGATAAGAAACAATGATAAAGTGTGCGTGATTCCCTTCGGAGATGGAAAAGCGGGGTTACACACTCTCAAACGGAACTATGTGCCAACTGAATGCGGCACTCATGAGCCATGGGCATGTGACGAAAGTAATGTGGACAGGGCTCATTAGTTAAAACTCTGGCGAGCTGCGGCGGCTTCGTCACTGCTGATGTCACTGGCGCTTTATAATTCCCATTCATCCTTACGGCCCTCGACTAATGAGCACATCCTTTCTTTTCCTCTGTCTCTGGTCCCGTTTGGCAGAAATATGTTCAATTGCCAGTCAACTTCTTATGCAAAGGATTGGGAGCTCAATGCTCAGCCCAGGACACAAGAGTCAGACACGCTGGACAGAATCCGGTTAACTGAAGCTACATCTATCTGAAAATCATCGGTGGTCATGGTAATGTTTGCCAAATGAGTCGTAACTTACATATAAACTAATTATTAAAACTTTAAAATCTCCACAGCGATGGAACGTCATTCGTGTCTGAAAGATAGAAGTCAGTGCAAAATCGTAGAGGGTTTTTTTTTACCTGCTACATCAGGACTTAAACCTCCTAATAACAACATTGTGATAGCCAGCTCAGTTCTTTTAAACCAGGCCAACTGTCGGTTGTTGTGAGACAGCCTACATAAATGAGAAAAGATTCATTGTTTTTGAAATGCTGTTTCATCCTTTTCTGTAAATTCTACTTTGTTGATTGCAGGTGTGAAATAGCTGCGGGTAGTGCATTTGATCTTAAGGATGGCATTGATACCTCCGGATTTTATATTGAATTGGGAGCTGCACAGGTAAATAAAAAATGCCTAATTCTTAATTAAAGTTTTTTAGTATATCTCTTTAAGTGTATAAATTAGACTAGGGAGTTAACTGAGATGGAAGAATGAAAGAATTATCCTGAAATTAAGTAGTTAGGAATTATAATTTTTGTCCATCGGGTCATTCCATGTCAATTCAACCGAAAAAACGGGAAAATGGCACCCACCGACTCGGATTTTTTTAATATTTTTTTTGCTTAATCTATAGGTCAACCTAAGAGAAAGTACAAATTTTTAGCTCCATGTGTCGAATACTTTTTGGAAAAAAAAAACTACTGAAGTTTTATCGCCTTTCGTAAAAATGCACTCTCCAGATTTCAAAAACAGCAGTACTTCGCCTTCAAAAAAGCCTCCTAATTTTTTTAGTTTTAAAGATTTTAAGCTGAAATTTAGCACACTGGTGCATAATAGTATGTATTTGAAGCGAAACATGTCCACTTTGACCTAATGTACCCTGGAGCACAATACGAGTTGAACATAGCCCTTTTTTGCCCTGATTTTTGGCTGCAATACCTTGATCCCTTAAAATGAGCATAACCATGTGAGCTAGCAACATATTATAATTTTTTTTTTTCGGTGAAAATCATCGTTAGGATGTGCTCTAACAGTATCTGAAATAAAAATCCTGGGTATTCCACTATCTCTCTGTCAAATCGCCCTCTATAGCAGAAAATGCATGAAAAAGCTAAAAAAAGCAAGTTTTTGCGGCTGTTTCCCATCAAATCCTCATGAAGCGTAGCATCTCATCCGAAATTCACCTAAATTCTTTCTGTTTCCATTAATTTCGCTTTAGGAATCCTTGGCTTTTCTTACCATCCACACTTAATCACTCATTGTAGCGAACACTGCATGAAAAAGTAGAAAACTCTCAGTTTTTGTGGTACATCTCCGCTAGGGTGGTTCTTATTTTTCGACTTTTCGAAAATCAAATGTCTGACCTCCAATAAAGTTGTCTCTTGGTGTCAAATGAACGTACAAAAATTTCAGCCGGATCGAATCATCCTGAGTGGTGCTGCCGGGGCCGCAAGTCTCCAAGCGGGAACTTCAAATTTGGGACAATCGCGTTTTTTCGTCATTTCGCGAATTTTTTTTCCCCCATTTAAAATATAGCTACAGCCTTGAAATTTTTTGAGGTTACACACTTTTTTGGGTACTTTACAAGAAAAATAGCACACTTTCCCTTACTAATTTTAAAATGCCCTTTCCCACCCTCTAAGGAGCCTCATCGTGCGATTCCGCCGATTTTTCGTAACATTCTCCCGACACGGTTTGCCTGAACGAGTTAAAACTTTTTGACAATTCAAAAGCAAAAACGCTTCAGGTCCATGAAGTAGAGTGTCTACCGAGTCATTTAAGCCCAGAAGAAAAACATTCTGCCGAGCTCCTGGAAAATAAAGTTGATTTAAAGGTATACTAGTGCTGAAAGGGGCAACTTACCGATGGTAAGTCCCGTTATATCACTGAAAATAAATTTCTTCAATAGTTATAATGCCTAGGTTTCTTGATATAATTATTCTAAGTACTTAAACACTAAAACCACAGATTTTAGCAACATAGTAAATTTTGGAGACCTAAAATTACTCATTGGAACCGAAAATTTCTCAAATTTTCCAGTTGGGGGGGGGGGAAATCCCATCTAATATTCGACGTTTTCTTGTTAAATTGATGTTGCCGCGGGTTTCCAGTCGTTGTTCACACACGTTCATCCTAGGGTTCCAAGATCCCATAACTTCCCAAAATTACTTTCGCTTTATCGATTTTTCCCGACTTTACACGGAACATTAATTCTTTAGCTACGTAACCGAAAGTGACGCATATCGATTCCAGAAACCATCGATGTTTCTCGTAAAATCGCTAAAAATCAATAAAGCGAATCTATGTATCGATTCGCGAAAAATGAATGCGAATTCTACGTGAAAAAGTAGTATAGTATCGATAGGAGGAACATGTGTGAACAACGACTGGATACCCGCGGCAACATCAATTTAACAAGAAAACGTCGAATAATAGATGGGATTTCCCCCCCCCCCATCCAATAATAGATCAAAGTGGTATCAAGTGGTCAAGTGGATACATTAGGTCAAAGTGGACATGTTTCGCTTCAAATACATACTATTATGCACCAGTGTGCTAAATTTCAGCTTAAAATCTTTAAAACTAAAAAAATTAGGAGGCTTTTTTGAAGGCGAAGTACTGCTGTTTTTGAAATCTGGAGAGTGCATTTTTACGAAAGGCGATAAAACTTCAGTAGTTTTTTTTTTTTTCAAAAAGTATTCGACACATGGAGCTAAAAATTTGTACTTTCTCTTAGGTTGACCTATAGATTAAGTAAAAAAAATATTAAAAAAATCCGAGTCGGTGGGTGCCATTTTCCCGTTTTTTCGGTTAAATTGAAATGGAATGACCCCATCCTAATCCTCACGAATGTTGAAATAAGGAAGAAGCCTAAAACCAGTGCACCTCCAACAATGGCCGGAAACCTCCCACTTTGTAAATTAAAACCAAAGACAAGAATATGTAGTGCCCACATTAACCTGGTTTAAGCTGATGAGACCACCATGCTTATCAGGGTGGAAATGTTGCCAGTCAATAAGCAGAACCTTATTGCTTACCATTTTAATATTATTATGTACATCAGTATTACAAAAGGGACCTTAAGTAACAAGAAAATATAGCATGAAATCTGCCCCTTACCGTAAAAATCAAGCACACATAAAATTTGAACATCCCACACATCAAACCATTGATAATGTCTGCAATGCAATGATTCCGTCTATAACTCAAAATTTTCTCCTGAATTTCTCTGAATGAAATATACTGCTCAAATTTCATTATTTTTCAGTTTGGAGCATGGGTGTCATTTTCCTGTTGGGTTTTTCTGTCTGTATGCGCTCTCCTCAAGTTGTGCCGGTTCCATGCGATTGAGAACATGCGAGTATCCATGTTAAGAGAAAGACAACGACTCATCAATGAAGCACATACATCTCCAAAATGTAAGTACCTCCAAATAAATTTAAGTCATTTCTCATCCCTTTTGAATACTTTCTTTTGAAGCAAATATTGGCAGGTCCTCCTTCTATACATTGAAATTAGCTGTAAATCATCTAACCTAATTCATTCTTGTCTCTCGTCATTCTTGTTTCCCTTTCTCCGCACTCTGTTTTTCTGTATTTCTGTTCTTACTTCTCATTCCAGTATTCCTCCCTTAGTAAGTTTTTCCTTGCAAAGCTTTCCTTCTAAAATTATATACGGTAATTAACATAATTTAGGTTCCCCTCCCTCATTTCTAAAAATCTAAATTCCTTCAAAATTTCATTTGGTGCTGAGACCCGGAATTGTTGAAAAATTAGTACGGGTGCTCGTCCATCTTCAGATAACCTATCACATCCCTTTTCCTATTTTTCCTTTCTTGGTAGTAGTGAAAATTTATAACCTAAAATTTTCATTCAAATTTTCACACCCTGAAAGGGTGCCACACACGGGAGACATGAGGCGACCAAAAGTGAGGCTCCAGATCACATGTTTGGAACTTCAGAGTTCAGAGTCAAGTTGGAATGGTCGAATATTTCAATGATCGAATATTCGATATTCGAATATCGTCGCCGAGATAATCGCATCACAATTGAATGTTGGTGAAAGTATTCGAATATTCGATTAATATTCAAAAAGGTGTAACTCAGATTTTCTACTACTTTTCCTCCTACAGTTCGAAATTGAGGACACCGCACCAAGAACAGCCTATAACTGGAAACCGCGTTTTGAGAAAAACGTATTTAAAGTTTTGTTTTTGATGTATTGCGCAGACTTTTCTATGCAGGTACCCTGTTTTGGTGTTTTTGGGTGACCTAACCCTTCCATTGAAGGATGCCGGGTAGATTTTGCGATACATTTTGGGTTTACACTCTAATATATTTAATTTAAAAAACGGTTTATAGGCCATTATTACGCTCAACAGTCATTTTGGTGGCAATATGAAGTATAAATCATTTTAATCACGCATGATTAACGCAAAATGAAAGAATATCGATAGTGAGTAAAAAGAGGGGTAACTAGCACCTTAAGCCCTTAAGTTTATAGGCCCGTTTATAGGTTGTTCTTGCACCCATCGATCCAGAGGCCTGACTTAACTCAGAAAAAAAAGGTTTTTCGACCTCGAGCCGTTACCTATCTATATTCTATCGCTACCACAGCATAGTCCAGGGTAAGTAGAATCCGAAAAGCAGATGGGCGTAAAAACGACCTATACGCTTATAGGCTGTTCTTGGTGCGGTGTCCTCAATTGCGAGGTTGAAAAATTCCCCCCTAGACCCGCAGAGCATTCTGTACAGACCTACATATCCTGGAGTCCAAGTTACCACCAGTATGGTTCGATAAAAGTCCATGGTATGGAATTATTTTTCCAAAAGTGCAAAAAATAGAGCCCTGTGCAAGCTTTGTTCCACCACCCTGTTATATTTGCGGAGCTTCGTTACAAAAAAATAAAAAAACCGGAAAAACTTGAACTAGGTTTTGTTTTGAAGCCTAAAGTTCTTCCTTTTTTTTAAAAAAATTGAAAAAAAAATTTTGAAAAATTTTGGAAAGTTTTGAATTTTCAAATTTTAATTTTTCAAAACGGGCATTTTTTTATAATTTTGATTTTATTTGTAGGTGATCCTTACATAATCTTAAAAAGCATTTCCGAAAGTTTCATTGTGGGCCGCCAAGCGGTTCCTAAGTTATAGCAATAAACGTACCTGATCCTACTTAAAATGCATCATACAGGGTTATCCAAAAGTCACTGACCACCCCTGTAACTTTTTTCCCAATTGAGATGGAAGTTTGAAACTTTGGCAATGTTCCTCGGTCTGAAGTAGCAACTTTTCGGTCCCCCCAAAATTTTGGGGGGCGGGGGCTAACTTTTTTTTTCAAATGGCAACCCCCCCCCCCCCTTTGTGATACCTCATTCGAAAGAGAATAAAAGAAGAAAATTTTTGGCGCAAACCGCAGGTCAAAATGTTGAGTTTTGACAAAATGGCGGCCGGTCAAAGTTCAAAATGGCGGAAATTTGACATCTCCGTTGTGCATTGACGAATTGGTGTTAAACTCGGAATCCTAGGGTTTTTCGAGACGAGAAAAACGATTCTGGCATTGGTTTTCTAGATAAGTCAGTCTTTTTCAAAATGGCCGCGGTCAAAATGGCGACCTAGAGTGGGAAGTGGATATTTAGGCTGCTTATCGTTGGATTTGTATGAAACTTGGTATGCGAAGTGTTTCGGCACGAGAAGAACGAATCTTTCATTGGATATCTAAAATTCCGACTAATTTCAAAATGGCGGCGGAAAAATGGCGGGAAATCAGTTTTACGGCTGTTTATCGATGGATTTGCATGAACTTCGATATCGATTATTCAGTTTTTCCAGAATCTAATGAGAGATTCCTTTTTATAGAGCCAAAAACCACCAGGATAGCGAATTTCATGCAAATCCATCGATAAACAGCCGTAAAACTGATTCCCCGCCATTTTTCCGCCGACATTTTGAAATTTGTCGGAATTTCAGATATCCAATGAAAGATTCGTTCTTCTCGTGACGAAACACCCCCGCATACCGAGTTTCATACAAATCCAACGATAAGCAGCTTAAATATCCACTTCCCGCTCGAGGCCGCCATTTTGAAAAAGACAGACTTTTCTGGAAAACCAATGCCAGAATCGTTTTTCTCATCCCGAAAAACCCTAGGATTCCAAGTTTCACACCAATCCGTCGATAAACAACGGAGATGTCAAATTTCCGCCATTTTGAACTTTGACCGGCCGCCATTTTGTCAAAACTCAACATTTTGACCTGCGGTTTGCGCCAAAAATTTTCTTCTTTTATTATCTTTCGAATGAGGTATCACAAAGGGGGGGGGGTTGCCATTTGAAAAAAAAAGTTAGCCCCCGCCCCCCTTAGAGGGGGCCGCCCCCCAAAATTTTGGGGGGACCGAAAAGTTGCTACTTTAGACCGAGGAACATTGCCAAAGTTTCAAACTTCTATCTCAATTAGGAAAAAAGTTACAGGGGTGGTCAGTGACTTTTGGATAACCCTGTATGTACCTACCTACTATATGTATATATTTAAGTCATGCATAAGCCATGCATAGTAGGGACAGATTCCCTTGACATGACTGTTAATAGTTAATAGGCTCTAAATAGTGGGAGTAGGATGTTTTCATAGATGCTCATTGTTTAGTATCACCTTTTGTAAAGTAGATATTTAAAACATCCGAAAGGGGGGGGGGAGGAGAGCGGGATGCCTGCTCGCTCTCCACATAGAACATTTTTGCCCTGCCTCAACACCAAATTTTTGCAAGGTTTTTTTTGTTTCCTCTTCTTCTCTCTTTTCCCCCAGTGAAACTCAGAAAAATGAAGGAAAAATAAGAATTAAGCAGTTAAATCAACCACGATTAAAAGAAGTATGTATAATAAAGACAAAATTATCATTAGTGGTAACCTTAATATTACTTCTGCTGATCTTCTAAGTAGTACTCATAGCTAGGTATAATTTCTTATAAACTACAAAAACCCTCAAAAACATTTTTCGGGCAAAAAATCCGGTCGAGGAAATGGACGTGTCACTTCCTTTTAATCAAGTATAAGATAGGCAAAGCCTTTGATGAATTCCCAAGGTCCACTAAGACTATTAATCATCAAAAAGTTCCAAAAACTTACTCGAAAGGAAAAAAATAAAATGAAAAATAAATTCCTCGCTGAAAATAAATAAAATACCGATTTTGAGATAAATCCCTCGAATGACCTTGAAATCACAAAATCGGTCGAGGATGTCTACTGAAATTTTTCCCCCTTTAATTATGAGCTCCGCAACAAGCGTGACTCGCTTGCACCTTTTCATACACGAGCCGCACGAATTCATCTCTTCTTCTCTCCTCTCCTTCCGTCCATGGACAGAGGTCCGAAATTTTTCGGATTTACTGACGTGACCGGCTGCGGCTCGATGCTCTCAGTGAATCGGTGCCTTCTTATCATCCCTGATGTCGGCTTCAAGTCGATTGCAATTTCACCAGTCGACCCATTTTTCCATAACCACTTGTTAGACTGTTTCGAAACATGATTCATCTGAAACATGGATTTTTTTTTAAGGGAGCTTACCGTTTGCTTTGGACGGTAGGTAGGTTGTAAGTAATAATTGTTCTTATACTCTATCAGTTAAGTATAAAATACATCTGTACCATTGGATGACCTTTCGACAGGCACGTTAGGTCCGGACAAGTGAGGGGATTTCTGAATCGCAAAATTATTAGTGGAATTGTTATAGTGGAGGAGTTGAGTCCCTTCCTGGATTGAGCCCCACTTAAGTCGACAGGTTGTACGTGTTTCTCTCTGACTTATGCGTAATCTTAGTAATCCACCCATGTTTACGCACCGAGCCGCAGCCGGTCGCGTCAGTAAATCCGAAAAATTTTGGACCTCTGTCCATGGACGGAAGGAGAGGAGAGAAGAAGAGATGAATTCGTGCGGCTCGTGTATGAAAAGGTGCAAGCGAGTCACGCTTGTTGCGGAGCTCATAATTAAAGGGGGAAAAATTTCAGTAGACATCCTCGACCGATTTTGTGATTTCAAGGTCATTCGAGGGATTTATCTCAAAATCGGTTTTTTATTTATTTTCGGCAAGGGATTTATTTTTCATTTTATTTTTTTCCTTTCGAGTAAGTTTTTGGAACTTTTTGATGATTAATAGTCTTAGTGGACCCTGGGAATTCATCAAAGGTTTTTGCCTACCTTATACTTGATTAAAAGGAAGTGACACGTCAATTTCCTCGACCGGATTTTTTGCCCGAAAAATGTTTTTGAGGGTTTTTGTAGGTCGTTTTTGGGTGAATAAGTACCGAAAGGTCTTGCTGTACGATGAGCTAGCAAAACCGAAGCGTTCGGTGGCTCCCGGAATTGGGTCTAGGATTTGGGAAGTTCAGAGCGAATCGGATAACCGGAACGAAAGTAGAGCGCTACTGGTGGAGA